CTAAACTAATGGAAAGAATGGTTAACAGGAAGCTGACCTGGTTTCTTGAGACCAACTATATTCTTATCAATGAACAAGCAGGTTTTAGGCCACCAAGATCAACTACCCATCAAGTAGCCACTTTCTCCCAAAATGCCCTTGATGCAAGAAATACTCTTACGGCTGTTTTCGTCGGTTTCAAATCAGCATATGACTTAGTATGGAAAGAGAAGCTAATTCGAAAATTGGGCAAGAAATACCCTTGCTGTTTTCGTCGATTTCAAATCAGCATATGACTTAGTATCCATTAAAGATGCCATTGATGCAAGAAATACCCTTACGGCTATAATGCCCATGATGCAAGAAATACTCTTACGGCTGTATTCACCTCCCTTGATGCAAGAAATACTCTTACGGCTGTTTTCGTCGGTTTCAAATCAGCATATGACTTAGTATGGAAAGAGAAGCTAATTCGAAAATTGGTGCAAGAAATACCCTTGCGGCTGTTTTCGTCGATTTCAAACGCATATGACATAGTATGGAAAGAGAAGCTAATTCTAAAATTGGACTTAGTATGGAAAGAGAAGCTAATTCTAAAATTTGCGAAAATTGGGATTAAGCATAACATGCTAAACTGGATAAAAGCATTCATTTTACAAAGCATAACATGCCAAATTAAAAATTGCAAAGATTGGTATTAAGCATAACATGCTAAATTGATATAGATTGGTATTAAGCATAACATGCTAAACTGGATAAGATTCATTAGACAAAGATCGTGTAAAGTCAGATACGGAAATCCTTTCATTGGACAAAGAATGCTAAACTAGATAAAAGCATTCATTGAACAAAGATCAAGTAAAGTCAGATATGGAAATGCCCTATCAAAATCCAATCTTTTAGATACGGAAATGCTAAAATCCAATCTTTTACAAACAGGCCTTCCACAGGGGCTCTTTTCAATGTCTTCATCAATGACATAGCCAAATTGGTGCAGACAGTCACAGGCATCAGGTGCATACTTTATGCAGATGATCTTGTTCCATGGTACTCCGCCCCTAAGAAAAACGCTCAGGAGAGGACGGAAAGTGCCCTAACTTATGCTATTAAACTACTAGCAAACTGGTGCGACAACAATGAAATGGTTATCCACACCGCGAAAACTGTATTCCAAACATTTTCTTTGGCCCTTCACAGCATAAACCCGCTTCTAAAGTACAAGGATTCTACCCTAGAAAAACCACCGAGTTCACTTATCTCAAAGTGACGTTTGACACAAAACTAACGTGGAAAAGTCACATTGCTAAAATAGCAGATCGAGTCTCCAATAGACTGAATGTACTGAAGCGTCTTGCTGGTAGCGTATGGGGCTGTGCTTGCTCAACTCTAAACACCACTTAGAAGATGTTAATTCGGCCAATAATGTTGCATTGCTTTGAGACACTCATTACAGCCACAGAGGTGACTCTCAATCCACTCGAGAAGGCACACAACCAAGCATCACAACTAATTACTGGAGGGATAAAATCAACACCCATTGATGCAATGCTCCTAGTTACAGGAAGCACCACAATGTGTTCCCTTATCAAAGAAAAGGCTTTGATCCTGTATGAGAAGCTACTGCGCATTCCCATGGATAAATTCTTCAGCACCTATGAGAATAGACCAAGACATCTGAAAACGCAATTTGTTCTAATACAGAAAGTCCTAGAACTGAAGAAAGCATTACAAATCGATGACAAACCAAATGGAAGCAGAGTCACCCAAAACAGCTGAGATATACGAATGAAAAAGACAAAATAGTGGAAAACGCTATGAGCTGCTGGGAGAGAAAGACAAAATAGTGGTCCTACAATGGATTCCTGGTCACTGTGGCATTGAAGGCAATGAGCTTGCTGACGCACCTGCTTAGAAGGAGACACCAATTTTCCAATGCATGGCCTGGCTGATTTCCATCCACACAATAAGGACCTTAATCAAGAGAGAATTCACGACCTCAAGATGCAACGAACTTAAAGCTCGAACAAAGGAGAAACAGTGGACAGTGACACTCTCCGACATACCCGACTGGCCAAGAATCGAAGCCGTTGCTGAGTTTGGACTATGTGCCGGTCACTATTGCCTGGCAAAACACCTTCACAGATTAGGAGTATACACTCAACTCACATGCCCCCTATGTAACCAACAGGAGGAAATGAAGAAGACCCACCTGATTCGGTGTCCAGCCCTACAGACAACGACGGAAACCCAGAGATACTGGGAAGCAAGATGACAGCAAATGAACTGCTATTAATCAATTGCTATATATGTACCCCCCCCCCCCCAGGGGAAAGCTGAAGTGAAAGTTTAAGGGCTATTGATAAATATCATAACACCTGGCATTTGAAATAATAATAATTTTTGTTTCTTCATTTGTTTGTAAAATTGGAGTTATTAATTGGAAAATTGCTGCTAGCTCACTACCCATAGGTTAGGAGGCTAAATTATAGATGATGTGGAATTTATTAGGAATCCTAGCTTTGACATATATCATTAAACCTTGCTTCTTTACATATTACTAATTTCCAAGTAGGTTGCCTTGATAATGCACCAGAGGACTGCTCAGAGCTAACCAGTAACTAATTTAATTAGTTCACTGTGGGACTTGGAGCCATTGAGATAGACAAGCAGGACACATTTGAGAACGTGAAGGGTCAAAATCGGTGTTTCAAAGAGAGATTATCAAGTGGTCCGATTGCGAGAGTGCAAGTTTCACACATCGGTGGGTCAACTGGGAGAAAAGATGAGTGAGTGGAAGTTGGTAGATACGTTTGAACTTTGCTTATAAAAGTAAATTTATCAATAAAGTGCTAGATGTTTTGCATTAGTCAACGTCATTAGGTCTCCCAATGTACACAGTGTGATTACCTAGGTTTGACCTAACTTGCGCAACCCGATATTACAGTTTTGGCAATGAGACTCTTGAGCCATCGTGCACCTAAAATACAAGTTCCTTATTTCATCAACATTGTCATATCCCACGACTCACCACTATTTGTTGTAAGAAATTGACCCATTCCATTAGTAGAAGTGTTAGCAGCCCTTGACTTAGGTAGAGGGAGGAAATCCGTAGTTGTTTGCAATAGCCACATTCCAACGGCCATCTCCAATCGATCCAATTTGGTAACCAGTTGGGATTGGTTCAGCACTAAATACAAGCTATTAAATAATGTGTGAAAGAAGCAATAATTAATTATATTTTTGAAGAATTAAAAACTTTAAATGTCACTAGGAAGAGAACAAAGATGTTCAAGTAATTACATCTACGATAATTGTTCAAAATCATTGCCTCATTAAAAGACAAGAGCTCTGTAAAGTAATCTGTTTATCGCAAGTATCTTAATGAGATACACTCCATTTCTATGAGACCCATATTAACTTACCATCTTTGAAGAAATGCTCATGAAGATGAATATATTCCAAACTTTAAGTAAATAAGAAAGCGGTTGAAACAATAAAATGGGTACCATTATTCCTTAAATTGAAAGGAGATTATTTCATACATGTGCGAATCTTTAACGAACAAATAGGCACATATTTTATTAATGAATACAGTTTTGAATCTTAAAAATAAAATTAATTAAACTGGTGAACGGTTATTATAACATACGATGTTAAAAAATTGAGATTTCTGAGACTAAAAATTAATGCTAAATTCTAGTTGATAAAGTTACAAGAATATAAATTAATTTAATCAATAGCAAGATATAATGATGAAATTTATATATATGAAAGTTTATGCCTCTTTATTATTAACGTTTATTTGATTTGTTTTACATTACTCATATACGCGGCTGTACAAACCATTGCTCTCTCTGGTAAGTGGTTGTCTGTACCTATAGTTGTCTAAGTATAACGGTTCTTTTTATTAATTACTATCACTTTTACTCCCAATGTAAAATTCGATTGGTATAGAAACTTTATATGCTTAGAAAATAGTTCTGACAATATTATTTATTTGTGCATTGTCCTTTTTTAAAAATAGCAAGTTTATCCATATGGCATGCTTGTTACACAAATGAATAAATAAGAATAGCTGTGGTAGATAAAATTCGTGGTAATATTTATTTACTTTAGGAGTGTGCGTTTTGTTATTTCTGCTCTATATGCAAACTTTCTTCTTTTTAAGATTGTCGGCTTCAAGTTAATTTTTCCACGAATATGAGCGGGATCAGTAAATCTAATAGCTCTTCACCTTCAAAACAGAATAACACGTGCGTTGCTTCAGTACCTCCTTCCGTAGCGGCACCCGCTGCATCGGTTCCAGATTTACCATTAATTCCTACTAGCAACATTAGTAGTCCCACCCCTTGCCAGCAAACTCATTCGCAGATTTCGACCCCACTACAAGCACCAACCCTCGACCCAAATCAAATGACCTCTGCGACCATTATTTTACCAAACCAAATCCCAGTTGTCACGAGTCCCGCCAATCCGATTGTTTTCACTGCTGCTCCCTGCGGATCGGCTGTCACTGTTTCTGTGAACAACGTCTCTAAACCCGCAGGTACTGTCTTAACTGCAGCTACTCGAGTTGTTTCCGTCTCGTCAATTCCGGTTATTCGGTCAGTTACTAGCCTCTCTGCTTCATCTACTACAGCTGTGTCTTCACAACCATGTAGACATGAATCTCCACAACAGCAAATTCACCAGTCACAGCAGTTGCAAATCCCGGCTTTTGAGAGCAAGTCTTTGAAGGAGGTTATGAAAGAGGTTGATCCTTACCTGCAACTAGATGAAAATTCTGAGGAAGTGCTCAGAGCTGTGGCCGAGGAGTTTCTTGAAAGCGTGGCAAAAAAATCAGTCAAAATTGCGAGTCATCGAGGCTCTGTCTTGGTCGAACCTAAAGATGTTGAACACATTCTGGGTCAGTTGGTCTTGATTTTCAAATCGATTCATACGAATTTCATTCCTAATTTTTCGGTGGTTTTCACTGTTCTCATCTATTTTATCTCTATTCGTACATCCTGAATCTCAATATGCTTTGAGACTGCTTTTTTCGCTAGAATGTCATTTATAAATATTTCACTCGATCAGAGTAGATTGAAGATGCCCTGGACCATCCCCTTTGTAAAAAAGTCGTATTCTACGACTCCTGCCTCAGAATTGTCCATTTACGCTGCCAAGTTCTTCATCTACCCCCTTTAACCCACCACTCTTAATCTCTATGACTCATTATTTTACTCACCAGGAGGTACACTGGGCTACAATTTGCATCCTAGTATTTTCTGAAGCAATTGGGCTGGCTTCTTTTACAAAGGTAGTAGCTTGGTCATTACTTTGTGTGCTTGAGGTTATGGGTTAGATAGTCTTCGGTGGCCACGTGTAACGATTAACATTGTCTTCTAAGGTAATTTGACAGACCTCAGATTGCTAGTGCTTCTTTTCGATGTTATTTTAATGTTACGACTTTTCCAATTTGCCTTCAAACGAAAGTCGGAGACAATTCCTCCGAAGCTTATTATTATAGTTCCCAAAGTGTAAGTATAAAGCAAGTTGATAAATATTTCCAAATTTGCTGAGCTAATTTTAATGACAGTGGAATTGTGTAAATGAAAGCTATTTTTAAGCGGCTATTGTATGAAAATCGCTTTCCTCCACTTCTCTTATTGACCACAATTAATCGATGCGCTTGATCATCCATCGCTAATTTAGTGGAGGAGGCACTGTGTTACTTAGTAGGGCATTTATCCTGTTTACTTAATTGAATGCTCGCAATTCACAACTTGGCTTGAGGATAATTCTACTGTTTAATTTTTCACTTCAGAGCGCCATTGGGACTTGACAATTCCAGGGTTTCCTCAATCACAAGAGAAGGCAATGAAACGGCCCTTCATCACGCAGTCCCACAGACAAAACCTGGCTCTCCTACGGCAACAAGTGAAATGGAGCTAGACGTTGTGATATTCCCCCTCCCCCTTGTCCTTTTTAACGCTCTTGATGTACATATTGATATTGTAAAACATTTGTATTAATGTAAATAAAAAATGGACAATCATGTTTATGTATGGTGTTGGGGAATAATCGTTCAAAGTAATGTCGAGAAAATAGTGTCCTTTCGAACTTGTGTTCGTCGAATTTCCGACCGATTGGTGTGGAGGTTGATCATGGTATCTTGGATGTTCAAGAGCATGTTTGTTGGTTGGGGTTGGGTTGAGGCAGATGCCACCGTCATATTGATAAGCTTAGGTTTTTTTGGGTTTGACCAGAAATGAGCTATCTCGGTTTCCATAGGGTACAATTTAGTGACCGTAGGTGTGACCAATTTTTAAGATTACCAACTCTTAGAACTTTAGTCTCTGGGAGAGGAAATTTTAAGGGATCTTTCGAGTGGAAAAGTATGAATACCTGTTCAAGGTCACCTTTGAGAAGATGGGCATGTGTACAGATAAACTTCAATTGATCATAGATGCTTCGACTTGTGAGGTTGAGGGTGCAGTACATGTGCTGAAGCTTACCAGGAGAGAGAAGGGCTTTAAAAGCAGAATGTGTGCAAACACAGCCATCCGAAATTTGGAAATCACCTATTACTAACAAGAGCTACACGAATTATTATCGTTATGGTGAATTAAGGCATACCGTGGTGGTCTATTTATGGAATCAGACGAAATCGAAGCAACGTTGGAAACCACCCAAATAAGAGAAAACTGTAGATACTAACTTACCAAATGTGGTTACGACGTACGTCATTTTGAGTATTTCACTCAAGAACAAGTCGTCAGAAGCTCACATATGTTAGTCAGCTAAAGGGCTAAATTTCCAATTGGTGTTAAGCTAACTACTGTTCTCATTACACAATGTTGTCACTTGGGGATGTGTGTTAGACTTATCTCCACGTGGTACACCCTGGGTAATGTATACTCATTCGACAACAAAGTCTATGAACCGGCAGTTGACTTCTCACTTCAAAATAACATGACCCCACTATTCGTCATAATCGACCACCTCACGGTACTCACCTTGCCTTTTTCTCAACCTTCGTGTCTGTCTCCTTTAAATCTGTGAATCACTATTCTGTCCCCCCCCCCCCCCCCTCCACTCTTTTGAATCCCGAAGTTAACTAAGTGGCTAATAATAAATTCTATAAAGCCTCCCATTTGGTATATTAATACTAATGCTATTACCTGGGTTTCGATAACAAGCATTTTTTATTTGAATCGAGAGTGTGCAGAATGCAGAAAGTGTAGAATGTTTTCACGGTGGGTTGAAATCTGCTTATATTCGCAACTTCTACATTTGAACTGTAGGAGCATCTTTCATTAACCGAATGTTCAATATGAGACACCTTATAAGACGCCTGCAGTTGCTATCTTACAAGACCCGTATTTCTTGGGTACCCTTTGGCTACTCGCTGAAATTATCCTCAACCCTAAAGAAACAGATGGCATCGATCATGCACCCCACTCTGCGCGCTTATAAGCCCACTATAGACCACTCCACCTAACATTCACCTCTCCATGAAGGAGGGGGGGGGGGGGGTTAACACAATAAAACCATGGCACTTTTCAACCTGACTATTCGCCTGTTGTTTGAGTGGATAGCGTAGAAAACCCTTCTAACCACATTAAGAAAGTTTATTAGTTCAAAGTCTTGGAGGTCAAATCAAATCAAATCAAACACTTTACTCTTGACTGCAGCACCAAATCAAAGTCAGCTACTTAAACTCCCCTTAACCAAAACCCCTGCCCAAATTTCAGTTACACTAGCACATTACCAATTGACGAGTCCTGTTCGTGTGTTTCCATGTTGTTATGTTAGTATGTCAAATGGGGTTCATCTAGTGTTTCTTCATCACTCCAATGGATTCGAGACAAAGATTGAAAAAGGTGAGGTGAGTACTGTAGAAGTAGTCGAATATGATATACAGTGCGAGTACTCTGGAAGTAGTCGAATATGACATACAGTGGGGTGATTGGTAGTTTGAAGTGAGAAGTCAACTGCCGGTTGATAGACGTAGTTTGAAGTCAGAAGTCAACTGCCGGTTGATAGACTTGTTAGTTTGAAGTGAGAAGTCAACTGCCAGTTAATAGACTTGTACCGTTAAAGTAATAGAGTGGGGTGATGGTAGTTTGAAGTCAGAAGTCAACTGCCGATCAATAGACTTTTTGCAAGTCAGAAGTCAACTGCCGATCAATAGACTTTTTTGTCTTTGAAGCTAGAGTCAACTGAAGGTAGAAAAAAGGCGAGGTGAGTACTGTGGAAGTGGTGAAATATGACATACAGTGGGGTGATGGTAGTTTGAAGTCAGAGGTATATGACATACAGTGGGGTGATGGTAGTTTGAAGTGAGAAATAGGTAGAAAAAAGGTGAGGTTAGTACTGTGGAAGAAGTCGACAGTAGAGCAAAGGTGAGGTGAGTACTGTGGAAGGGGTCGAATTTGACATACAGTGGGGTGATGGTAGTTTGAAGTGAGAAGTCGAAGAGAAAAGGTAAGATGAGTACTGTTGAAGTGGTCGAATTTAAGAAAAAAGGTGAGGTGAGTACTGTGAAATGGTCGAATATGGACAAAGGTGAGGTGAGTACTGTAAAAATAGTCGAATATGATATAGAGTGGGGTGATGGTAGTTTGAAGTCAGAAGTCAACTGCCGATCAATAGACTTTTTGCAAGTCAGAAGTCAACTGCCGATCAATAGACTTTTTTGTCTTTGAAGTCAGAAGTCAACTACCGTACAGTGGGGTCATGGTAGTTTGAAGTGAGAAGTCAACTGTAGGTGAGGTGAGTACTGTGGAAGTAGTCGAATATGACACAGTAAGGTAAGATGATTACTGTGAAAGGGGTCGAATATGACATAAGTGAGGTGATGGTAGTTTGAAGTGAGAAGTCAACTGCCTTAGTCGAATATGACATACAGTGGGGTCAGAGTCAACTGAAGGTAGAAAAAAGGCGAGGTGAGTACTGTGGAAGTGGTGAAATATGACATACAGTGGGGTGATGGTAGTTTGAAGTCAGAGGTATATGACATACAGTGGGGTGATGGTAGTTTGAAGTGAGAAATAGGTAGAAAAAAGGTGAGGTTAGTACTGTGGAAGAAGTCGACAGTAGAGCAAAGGTGAGGTGAGTACTGTGGAAGGGGTCGAATTTGACATACAGTGGGGTGATGGTAGTTTGAAGTGAGAAGTCGAAGAGAAAAGGTAAGATGAGTACTGTTGAAGTGGTCGAATTTAACAAGCAGTCGGGCCATGGTAGTTTGAAGTCAGAAGTCAACTGCCAGTTAATAGACTTTTTTGCCGTATGAGCATACGTTGCACAGGAAGCACCACGTGGAGGTAAGTCTATCGTTCACCTCACCAATATAATAACCACTGTAGTAAATGTTCATTTGCGTGGATTGCCAACATTATGGTATTCTTATGTGGAAAAATATTAGTATCTAAAAAATTCAAATAAGCCTGTTTGCTAATTTGTGTATTAGAAGTATTCAGGGCAGTCATGTGAGAAGTAAAGAGATTGGAAATGTCATTCTTAATTCCTTTGCTTTGACCCCAGCGAACTTCATTAATTATACCTTCTAATAAAGTTTATTTATTTATTTCAAATGGCAGGCTCTATGATATTTATCATTAGCCCTTAATCTTTGACTTCAGCTTCCCCCAAGAGGGGGGGGGGTACATTTATAGCAGTTAATTGATAGCAGTTCATTAGTTAAAATTGTGTTTTTCGTTAAGGGATAAATGAGGTCACGGGGTTAGAGACCATCCGATTAATCACAAATCACTTGCTATCACAGCGTCAGCGCACCCGAAACGCTTCTTTATAACTAAGCCCCTTATTTGTTGAGCACAAACCAAAAATAAATGCATGACCAATGAGAATTTTCGACAAAGACAAAGTCTTGGTGTACGCCTGCGAAATACCCTGATTCCTCCTCTGAAAGTCCTCATCTAATTTAGCTTGTGATTAAGGAAGTTGCTCAGCAATTCCATTAAGGTGTCAAGTCACTTCTCACTTTATTGGTGGTCACTATAGGAGTTGATTTGAACAAGACTCTACCGCCTATAGAAGTCTCGAATGGAAAATTTGATTCTGCTCTCTGTTATCCCTGCAAACAAAGCACAAAGGTGCCGAGATTGGCTTCGCCCAGTCAAAATCATTTCAGGCAGTTTACCTCCCAATCGATAATCAACGACATAACCTAGAACCTGATAGCTTGATGATTAATTGTGTGGAGGGGGCTTTCAGTATGGTGTTGATCTGATCTTCAAATATCGGTAAATAAGATTGCTTTTGTTATTGAACAATCGTACTCCTTCCGGAATTGAGTTAATTTTAATTCGGAAAATTACCGACACCGGGTCAGACTGAATCTTACTCTTGCATAAATTCTTAGCCCGATGAACTTCCTGTCATTTTTACTACAAATGCATTAACATGCTCGATAAAAGTGCATGAGACCATTTTATTGCTATTGAAATTGAGATGAAATCTTCTAAATTTGACCTCAACGATAACATGGGTTATGGGGCCAATGAGTAATATGCGGGAATCGACTGCCTAGTACAGCCGATTTAATTGCGAGCAATAATCGTGTTAATTAACTAGGCTTGGAGTTCAACATTTATGTTAATTTGTGGTGAGGGCACCGGGTGGGGGTGGGGGTGGGGGGGGG